TGCTCTGTCTGCCATCTAATTGTGTTTAATAAGTGCATAGAAATATGAAATCTAAGGTAGTATCATTTTTAATAGGGGAACTTCCAGGATTCTCCTAATTAAAAGCACACACGCCTTCTGAGAATGAACACTGGACAGATACAGCAATAGATCACTGAGAAACCTCCTGCTCTGAAATGTTGAGGAGTTTGGATTAAAAATGCAGTTTGCTTGCCAACAAAGAAGAATTTACAAAGACTGCTAACAAGAAAAAGAGTCCAGGCAGCTTCTGTGGAAGTATCTCATCTGTCATCCACAACACGGTACCAGAGAAAGGTGCATCTCTAGACTTCATTATCCTCTTCTGGCTGGGGCTGTGCTGACAGGGGTCTCCCTCTTCATCTGACTGAGGTGGTGGTGACAGACCTCTCCCATTCAGCCCGAAGAAGAGTTTAGTAGGTAGCATTTGAGGAAGCAAAGCATGTCTGGAAGCAGCTGGCTGTAAGGTGTAAAGAGCTGCTCATCGCCTGCCTCTAATTGCATCAGAGCATTTTCCCTCTCCTGACCACCTTTATCGGCAGCAGTTGAATCTACCACACTCCTTCCATGCCCATGGTGTAAACTCTGACCACTAGCTGATGGCGACAGCTTGTCTTTCAGATCGTGCTTTCTCCTGACATGTATATCTAACATCTCCTGACATGCATATCTAACACCCCTGGAAAATAAGAACCTTCCCAGAATCCAGCTATGTCTTTCAGACACATACTCCTGTCAAAAGCACCAGCCCCCTGGAAGATACTTAACTGAACTGATCCTTTCTTGCCTGGTTCCCCCACATTTCCATCTTTGCTGCTGCTTTCATTAACTCTTCATTGAATGCTCTGAGCATACAAATTTTTCCAAGGCTAAGAAGGAGAGATGAACTTCCTTGTTGCGTTATCGCTTTTGCTACAGGCTGGGTCTGCCCGTGTTATGTGTGAACACAAAGTGTGGGGAACCAGCAGTAAAATAAACTGATTTCACAGAGGGTGAAAAATATGTCTGAAGAGATGAAAGAAGTTGGGTTTTTTCCATGCCTCTGTCTTTACATGTCTTGGATACATTTCTAAGGAAAGTTTTTTAGACAGAAACTGGTTCTTCAAGTGGTCTGTGTCCTTTTTGACATGACCCCCTTCCTGCTATCTTCTTTCCATCTCTACTCACTTCCTAAAATAGACTCATTATCGTAGAAATGAAAGTGAAACAAAGAAATCAAACGTTGATCTAAGATACTCAAGCCAACTGCATTAGAGAAATCAAGGTTAGAGGCAGTATGCACTAACAGGCATGGATACATCAATGATTGTATTATGGAAATTGTTGATTTTCCATCAGTGTGGACTCCTGTAGCAGATGTGCTTCACAGCCACTTTACACCAATTCTCATGGCTATCTTGTGATTGCATATGCCTCTCACAGACTGGAGATGTTTCTGGCCTTGGCCAGTAGTTTGGTGGAGGCTTCTGCACAAATCACTCAGTCTCCCTAGAAACTGAAGCAGTGTGAACATGAAAAATGAAGTTTAAATATTTTTAACCTGTCAGTTATAAATTATATGGTGATGATGTGAGAAGATGTGGTAACATGAGTTCAATTATTCCAATAACAAAAGGGAAATGAAACAAAATCCAGAGAATCACACAGGTTATCATGACAATTTGTCTTTCTCTTATAATAGGTTCACCTCCAAAACAGCAAAAAGTGCATTTATTGTTTATCCCTGTTTGCATTACTGAAGTTAAAATCAGTGGTACAATTTGAAAATGTGTATGTTTAAGCCTATGAGTAAAGCAACAAAGGTACCAGTCATTTGTGTTAACTGGAAAAGCCATTAAGTATGTTTGGTGAAAGTTAACAGGAGGTATTACATGGATATTTTTTCTACTGGGCTCTTAAAGAAATAACTTCAACCAAATTTGTTCTGGACTTAATTTTACAAATGCACATAGCACTAATTTTACAAAAAGACAAAAGGTCAAGGTGCTCTCTAAAAGTCTTTGACAGGGTAGTATATAAAGCCAAAACCTGCAGAAGATGCAAAGAGCTACAGCACAGCCTACAAAATAACTACCAGGCCAAAAATTAGGAGGATTTAAAGGCAATCAAGTAAATTCATGGAAGGGAAAATGAAGTTGTTGACATAGACTTTGGTTGAGAAGCTCCTGAGCTGCAGGTTGCCAGAACTTGGATAGCTGTAACACAGAACACACACATGGTTGTCTTCTTCCCATGCCATCCCCCTCGCCATCTTACCACACCTGCGGGAAAGCTTCCAGGACCTCCTGGAGCCTTGCCCTGCCGCAGTATGGATATTCCTACATAACCTAAAGCAACCTGACAGAGTAAATACACTTGATAGCAATTTGTTCAGCGTGGATGGCTTGAAGCCACAAAGTCAAGAATTTAAGGTAATTTGCTGCCACCTTTCATGCCAGGGAAGTGAAAGAAAACAGACATTTCTATAGATAATAGAGTCTTAGTTGTGTTGCAGGTTGAACAGCAGAGGTTGCATTTTCTTGTGGAAGTACTGAAGTCTCCAATTCTGATATTTTCTAAAATTAAGCATTTAGAGGGCTAGAAGCAATTAGGCTGTATACAAGAAATATTAGATATCACTGAAAGAAGAACCATCATGAATAGTCCATTCTGTAAGTTAAATGAATCCTAGGAGTGATATACTGTCCAAGTAGATGTGCCGTTATTCCATAAGAAGTATTATATCTTTTAAATGAATTGAAAAGTGAAGTCACCTGGCACTGGAGCAGAACATAATAGCAGTTATTTAACAAGTTGAAACAACTCCCATTGAATCACTAGTACTTATCTCCTTTAATGCAAGTAACCCAACCGTTTTAAGAGCAGATGTCAGCAACTGTAGATTAAGGGGACTACTATTCAGAGGGTGTGATGGTCTCCCTGAAGTCAGTTGCTTACTATTTAATGACAATGAATAATACCAAAAGTAGTTATTCTGAAATGGAATGTCTCTCTTAGTTAAAAATATAGGAAAAATCCTGAAGGATGAGTTCCTGACTACATGCTTTTTTAGTAAAATTTGGAAAAAAAATGTAAAAAGTTAATTTTGGATCAATTTAAAATAATGTATTAAAAAAATAAAATCATTGTTACTTCCAGGATATTTGAAACATTTTTACTTGCAATGATTATGGTGAAATTTACCTGAGAAAAGGGGCCCCATCTACTGCCTGCTACAAAATCTGCAAATCAGCACTTGGGGCCACAAGTTCTGCCATGGGAGCAGGTGCAACAGAGCAAGGGTTTCCTTTCCTCCGCATTAGGAGGCAGGATTAGGATCCAGACCACATGGCAGCCCACCTCACGGTCCTGATACTGCTTTATGGGGAAGAGGTGGTTCTGCCACCACCACCTGCTGTGAGGGCACAGCAGCCACAGCATGGCGAGGAGGCCTTCTGATGCTTCTTCCCTCCTCATCAGCAGGGAAAAGATACCAGAGTCTCCACAGATGAAGCCCATTTGAGAAGGCTCCTGAGGTAAAACAGGAGCCAGGCTCAAGAAGATTTCATAGGATGCAGGGCTAAGGATTGAAGGCCCTGCAAAGCTTGACTTCTTTCACTGTACCTCTGCACCCTCTGACATAATCTGCCAGACACAAAAAATTAACCTTTAGATCAATCTTGCAGACTGGCACAGCAGAATTGGCAGTGAAATCTGCTTGGCAGCAAGAGTTCTCACGGAGAATGGCAGGGCTTGTGTTTGTTACTCAGTCGGGTTCTTCACGGGTTATTTCCTTATTTACATTGATGGGAAACATACGGATATGGCATTTTGAATTAACACATAACACATTAAGTCATTTTCTACAGATTAGAACTGAGGGACTGGTGGGTGCTGTGTTAGTGAGAGGGATAAATGAGGCCATGCACACCTTACAGCAGTGCCCCAGCAGGGTGGGACCTTAAACAAGATGAAGATGATACTCATAGGAGGAAAACATCAAGGAAATAGCACCACGATGAGAGAAGTTGTTTTGCAAAACAAATATAAAAATTTATCAGTATCCAATGGGAAAAAAATTACTGATGAGACAGTTATAGTAACTGGCTATTGTTATTGTTAGGCTTTTCATTTGCCTTGTAATCTACATCTACTATATTAATTATTAGATGAATAAGAATTTGTTGTATTATGCACTAGAGAACAATCTAGTTTTAACTAGCATGGGCGTGCTGTTGTTTTCTAGATGGTCTATTATTATGGTTTGGGCTGGTTGAAGATTTGTTGTTGCACATCTGTTGGAAAATGCCATTCTCTAACAAAAAGGAAATTAATTATTGGCATAAGGATTAATTATGACTACTGAGTGCTAAATTGATAAAGGAAGACTATCAGAAGCTATTTCAACTGTAGAGATCAGGTGATGTCTCCTTAAATACCACAGCCTTTAGAAGTAATATGATGGCATAATCACTTTAAAAATCTCATACTAATTAAAATTTTGCTTTTTGCACTGTATTGAGCTCATTTCATAAGTACAGTAGCACACACTACATTAGAACTCTTGCCACTTTTACAGTTGTTTACATCTTACACTGACACCCCCTGCCCTTTTTTTTAATTGTGCTGGTTTGCAGAACTTCTTCAGAGCATACGTAAAGCAGTATACTTCTGTGTCTGGATCTCAGATTAGTACATTCAACTGCATCTCTGAAGAGATCTGCTTCTGATAGAACAAATCAGAATTTTTCTCTATTGGAAAAAAAACCCCAATTGTGAAAAATCATAGTTTTGCCGATATTATGACACTATTTTTGTGTGCCATACTCTTAAGCTGAATTATACCACCAAACTCACTGAGAAAGCATCAGATGAGAAATTTTGGTATTCTCAGATAGCTTTAAATCAGTGAATAGATACTGGTTTGCAATATCTTTTTTTTTTATGAAATGCAGTATAATTTTTTTATTATTTTTTATTTACTTATTTATTTTAATTTCTAGATGGCTACCCTAAAGAGGAAATGATTTACAGGTGGAGGAAAAATTCAGTGGAGGCTGCAGACCAGAAATCTTGGAGACTCTATCAATTTGACTTTATGGGTCTCAGAAATACTTCAGAAATTGTGAAAACCTCTGCAGGTAAGAATGATACAAATGGTAGTGCTTGTTTTGGAAAACAAATTATTTCAAAATATTTGTTTCAAGTTTGCTTTCATTTGAGTGCAGTTTGATTTCAAAGTGTACCAATGTTCATATTAAAACCTCTAAAGTGCAGACTCCAAAACTATTGACTCTCTCTAAATTTTTGGTAACTTCTTCTCTATTTTTTAGTAACTTCACAAACCAAGGAATAAATGCTAACTTGACATGGCTGTTTGTTATATAATTGAAGTTACTATATGATTCTCATTCCTCAGCTAAGTTTATTAAGCCATTCTTGCACTGAGATATATGTTTTCACCATAAATTAAGGAGAAAGATTTTGAGCACAGTGGTAGGGTTAGTGAAATTAGACACTTTTAATAGTAGTTAATGATTCAGACACAGGTTTAGTATTTTTCTTAATATTTCAAAGGCACTCTTTATTTCTCAGTTGATAAATGCCTTTGCTAGTGACCTTAACAATTGATTGTAATTAAAATCTAATGATGCCTATTTTATTTCTTCAGAAATCTTGCTGTTTCTTATAATAACAGCAACATAGGAGAAAGAGATGCATAAATAGAATACATTATTTGAACTGGATAAATTCTCATAAAATTCAAACAATGTCTAAACTTCATACACAACTCTGCAGTTAGCTCTGTGATTACCATTCGGTAAGTCTTCTCCCAGCAGCAGAAGGAACTTGCTAGAAGCAACCTTCTGCTTAACTGGTTGTGAATTTTTGAAAAATCCAATTAGATTTTTTTTTCAAAATGTAAGCAGAGCTATGTTATTCTTTTGGAAACACTGTGATTAGTAGTAATAATAAAAAATTATTAATCTGTGAAACTACTGCTGTTGGGTCATGGCCCACCCACTAACATTAGCAATGTATTCTCAGGACTGGGTAGAGATTTTTGTAACGAATCATCACTAAAGCTTTAGTGAATATTTTGGGCTGGTAGTTTAGCAGAACAAAATGTTGCAACCAGCGCACACATAAAAGTTTTATTCTGTTATGACAAATCCTTGTAGTCTGTAAGTTTCTCAGGAATGCAAATTTCCCATAAGTTGATCCAGGAGTTGGTGGATAACAGTCAAGTACAAAATACCAAATCATTAAAGTATCTGTGTATGCAGCCATGGAGCTCATTGGAAGGGATGGCAGGAACAGGAGAAAAAGCCCTGCTCTTTCTGCTTTGCTCACATCTGGAGTGATGCCATCCTGAGTTTGCATCAAGAACTGCTAAATACGTGAGAAGAATTACCGAGTCAGCCATGTTAATATGTTGACAGTGTCTTGATAAACATATCTATTAAACTCTTCCTTTGCACAGGACAATCCATTTTTATAGATGTCTTATTCAAGTAAGTGAATGCTTAATGTGGAGCAAGGAAAAATATGTTTCCTATGCTTTTTTTAGTATATGCACAGTTCTTATTAAGAAGAGTGAGCTGACATGATGTTTTTCCTATTATTGCTATTTCTGCTTCTGCCCGTGCTTATGAGTGCAAAACCCAGTAGCGGTGTTAAACTGAACCTACTGGAGCCATCACATGATATTTCTGTTCTCCTAAAGGCATCACACTGGCAGAAAGTTGTTGGCAAACTAGAGTTTATTCAAACACTAAAAAAACCCCAAACAACCCTATCAGGAGGTTGTGGAAACTAACTTGGAAGAAACAATGTAAAATGTATGAGTCAGATTGTCATCTGGTGTTATTAGGTAGAAAATGAGTTGTGCATCTCAGCAGATATCTGAGAAGGGGTTCTCAGTCAACAAATATATGAAAGATGTGAAAAATAAACCCCTGAGTTTGCACATGGACCTGAATTTGCATAGAATAGACTCTCTGGCTGTTTTTACATTATAGTTTAACATTAAGTTTCAAGGCCAGATTTACTGAACGTGGACAGTATTTACTGTCAGGAGCAAACCCAGGGCCAGGACTTGGGAAAACTAACAGGCACATCAGAATACCTTGACTGTGCCCCATGCTATAGAGCAAGGATTCCCAAAATGGAGGGAGGGGGGCAAGACACAACCCACCTGAGACTTTGCAATCTCTCAGAGACAAAATTTAAGGTAATTCTGAGACTACCTGCTGTAAGTGTCTAAGTATATGTGAACGAGTAGAATAAGAAGGCATCTGTGCTGTGGTACATGCCTATTTACTGAAGAAAAGTAGCCCTATCCAGAAAGTTTGAGAATTAGGGAACCCCCAAAGCTGTTGTTTCCTACCTCATGAACTATCTCGGATGAATGGAGGTGGCAGCTGCTGCCTACAGGTATCCCATTTCCTTTACAGCCATGCCACGGGGGCCACAGGTGGTCAAAAAAGAGGTGCCAGGTTCTGTCATGGAAGATCTGTGTCGTATTTACACTAAAGCTGTCCGGAGAGGCAGACTGCGCTGAGGCTGCCCTTAGGACGCTGTGGGTACAGAACCCCCCTCGACTTCAGGCTGCTCCCCAGAGAGACCAGTCCCCACCGACTAGCCTCTGGGTCTGTGTGGGGCCCCTCTGAGCCATGCGGGAGCCCATAAAGGCCCCACCAGCCGCTGTGCCTTTGCAGACTCAGGACAGAAAGGAAGAGCGGTGTTGTTCAGAGTGCTGCACAGGGAATCATTCAGAGTCATGAGATGGGGTTAGGGAGAGGGAAGCAGGCAGGATACCAATGGCAGCTAGTATCCAACGGCACGGAAATATACCAACGGCAGGGAAATTACGGAAACTACTACTACACAGGACATTTAAAAGCAGACTAGGCAAAGTATGAGAAAATGTACTGCAGGGAGCAGCCCTCCACTAGCAGGAGATGGATTCAAAACCCTGTCTTTTTTTGCTTCTCACTTACACCTTTCTGCTGGTTTATGACACTATTACTTCTCACTAAATTGTGTGTTCATCTATAACATGAGAACTGCCGCAGCATTACCTGCCCATGTCTGGTTCAGGGATGCCTTTTTTAGCTGATTTTCAGCAGTGTTCTGACTATAATGAAGAGAGGTCACACTGACCACATGGCAGCATGCTGCTTTTCTTCCAGCATTTGCATAAGTCCTTTCTTGGTAGTCATTTTCACCACAAAATTACTAGATTTAGTACTCAGCAGAATTCTGCTATTTGATATTCCAGTCTTTCCAAACCTTTTCAGACATCTAAATAACCTTTATGTTAATCTAGGACAGTTTTAGAGGTATACAAGTAGGAAGCCAGCTGTCACAAAGAGAGTATTTCTGAATTCTAAGCAAGATGAGAAATGTCATCTCTTGCCTTGAACCAGCAGTGGCTTAAAGCATTGCCACAGTGGTGTGCTTTACTCCTGCAAGAAGACTATCCTTTTTTACAATAGTCTTGCAGCCAAAGTTTTCATTGCCATCTGGAAGAGGTGTTCAGCTTTTTCTTGAGGATTTTTTTGAATTTCATGCTAAGATACAAACACAACCAGATAAATATCTACTGCGTATGGTGCTTACATGGAATACACAGCAGAAATCACTGTGCTGGTGCTGTGCTTATGAACCTTTATCTTACACCCTAAGTAAGCTCTCACCATCAGGTGATATCAAACTAATCCACAAGTACTGAAGAATTCCCCTGTTGCCATCTGGCAAGATACTCAGATACTATAGCAAGAGTATACTCTTGCTACAATGTCAAATAAGGCTGTCAAAGATAATTAAAGCAGAGGGAATACTAAGTCACCTGGCACTGATCTGTGAAAAAAAAGGAGGAACTGCATGTAAGGAGAAAACGCTCAAATTGTAAAACTGCAAATCAGCCAACAGAAGGTGACCAGGAAAACAGGAGTGGGAGAACTTCATCCTTAAAAGCACTCTGTGTGTGTTTCCAAGTCCTAGACTTTCCAAGGACACTTGACAGGAAAAAAAAAGAAAAAAAAAAAAAAGAAAAAACCCCAAAACAGAATCATGAAGGAATCCACGAGTAAAGCTCATGGAGTGAGCTGTAGTGTTGCTTGCACTTTTCTGCTGACATGTCCCCCAGGAAAAGTCTATTCCTTCTTTTTTAACCACTCAATTTTTTACACTGCTAGATAAACACAAAGACCTTGTAGCTACTGAATCTAATTTTCATTTACTTGAAAACTTCTTTGCATCATACAAGTCCTATTTGTGTTTTTCCTCAGATGCCTTTAGCCTGAGAGATTTTTGCAGTCCAAAGGAGCCTTTGCATAAGTAAGTTGAAGATAATTCATCAGAAATAGAAAACTCCATAAAAGTGCCCTATTAAAAAACTTTAATAGCTCATCATTGCAAATGAAATATACAGAACCAGACAGAAAGTACCATTTCATACATTCTGAATAACCCCAAAGCATCAAGATCCAAATGCAATAAATAGCCATAACTACTGCCATAAAAAGGTACACCTTTGCATACATACAACGGATGGGTGACTATTAGTGGAGTCTGCCTGTCATACAACTTCTAAATTGTGCTTTATATTTTGTAATTGTTGTTTCATCAAGTACCTCAGCTTACATGATGCTCTCAACCCTATATCACAGGCTGCAATGCAAGGTTATTATCTATTGTCACAGATTCAGATAAAGCTCCTTGGGACAATGCTAATAATAACACAACTGCATACTCTGTTGCAGGGGACTCAGTAAATGGCAAGTAAAAAAATACCGTAGAACAAAAATAAGAAAGCTTGTCTTTTAAGAAGATGCAAAGACCTACATAAATAGCTATTGGCAGAAGGGAGGAATAGACATGTTTTTATAGTGAGGCCAAATTTCACTGGGGGTGGCCTCATGAAGTCAAGGGATGGATCAGGTGGAGACAGGCATTAGCCAATACTCCTTTACTTTGTCAGAAGACCAACACACTCCCAGAGATTTATCCAGAGGAAAAGATGCTCATGTGCCTAGCTCTTCTACGAGGTGAGCAAAGAAGAGCTTGCTTGAGAAACCATTTCAAAATTGGCACTTCTTCTTACTTTTTGCTGTTAAATGCTCCCAGATCACTT